TTTATTCTTCATTTCTTTTAGTTCTTACTTGTAACACCTTCTTGTAGCCTCCTCTGCCTGTGAAAGCAGTTATATAAGGTCTTAACCAATATGTAATACCTATGGGTTTGAATGGAGAAAAGCAAGGTAATCCTGATGTCACAAGAGTCTGCAAGGTTGTAAGACCATTAATGGGAGATGAAACTGGAATATTCTCTGCTCTACTGTTTTTTTCAGTCACAGACCTTGTCCTTGCTCCTTGTGGTTCTGTCCTGTTACTTACTTTTCTATGGACTGTCATTCCCCATCCATTCTCCAGTTATGCTCAGATTTTCCCTCCAGCTCTGCCCTGCACACCTGCTACTTATTCGCTTGTCAATCCGTCCTGACTCCCTCTCCCATCACACCTGTCTCCACTTCCCTGATTAGCTCCCTCAGTATAAATGCTTGCCAGTTTCTTTGTTCTTTGTTCTTTATTTGTTGTGCTAACCACAGCCTTTATGCATCTGGTTTCAATGTTCTTACCACTTGTCTGTTCCTGTTCTCCCTAAGTTAACCTGTTTGGTTTTGATTTACCCATGTTTGGACTCTGCCTAGTTCCCTGGTTATCCTTTGGCTTGCGCTGTTTGTTTGCCTCAAACCTCCATTTCACTCTGACTTTGCCTCTGCTTATGCCTGCTTGGTATTTGTCTGTCAGCTACTAATCTGTTGAACTTCGCTGGCCAGCCTGCCGCCGTGTCTGAATCTGGGCCCTCTCTCCCTGCCTGCTGTGTTCTCATATGGGCCTCAACAGTTTCTTTTTTAACCTCCTTATGGTTATTTAAATGGAAATATCTAAGAAGTTGAAAGTCAAGTATTAGATAAATGTAGTGGAGTAAAAAGGATAACATTTAGTTCTGAAATGTGGAATATTATATTAACTGATATATTAAAGTATTAAAGTATTAATATTAAAGTATACTGAAGTGCAGCACAAGTACCTCAAAATTGTATTTACTACAGTACTTATGTAAATTTACTTACTTACTTACTTACTTACCATTGCTAGGAATTTTTTTTAAAACAATCCCTTAATTATTTGGTCCATAAGAGATCAAAAAATAATTGAAAAAGTCCATAAAAAATTCTCAGTCAAAGAAGTTTGAGAAGTTGGAGCAAATCTTTGGCTTTTTTGCCTATAAAACAACCCAGTAAGTGTCTAATGGTCACAAAAGCTTCTTGACTAACAGTCAACAATGGATAATTTTCTTATACTCAGCTAATAAATAACTGACTAACAGTTTCAGCTCTAACTTCCGTCTATGCAGCATCAATTGGTACCATTCTTTTTTCTTAAAATAAAATAATAAAAAATCTGTCTCATAAATCACCCAGATCTGCAGAAGGGAAATACTATATTTCAGAATTAACAACAAAAAAAAAAAAACATTATTTGCTCCTTACTTCTCTCCTTCTTATGTTTAAGAATTTGTACTCTGCTATAACAGGTTTGCATGGGGGAGCTTTTGCAGAGCTGGAGAAACATACAACTGATTTAGTTCAGATTTCATGAGAAAAGCACATTCACTGTGAGAAGATAAATTAACTGATAAAACTGCTCCTAAAAGGTTTCTGACAAAAATTTCAGAAATTTTTGATAGTGTTAACTTTAGACCTGAACCTGGCAAACTCATACATAAAAACAAAGCTCCAACACTGTCCAGATGGTGAGTCAAATGAGGGAGTAAAGTACTCGTCCTACATGACACTCGCATGATATGAGCTAATATACAGTAAGAATATGAAATGTGCACTGTGATACTGTTTTTATGGCTTAAAAAGAGACATGGTGCAGGCCTGCTGACAGCCTGACCTCATAATGTCAGCAGCCACTAATACAGGCTGACATCATGCTGCTACGGTCACACAACTGAGTGGGAGAATGTTTCTCGTCAATCACTGGCCTCTGAGTGCTGGGAACTTTAAAATCTGATCTTTCACATGACACTCATGAACTGAGCATAAAATAAAAACCAAAAGAAATCTTAACAAAACGTTTACTTACTAGCTTTTTTCTGTAGTTTTTGACACATCTCATGGTCTTCCTCAGATGAAGCACAGATGTCGTCACATCCGTGTAATTACTCAGCAAACTCTGTCTGCCACTGAGTCTGACTCATGGTTGAAAGCTCTGGAAAACGATACTAAGTGGTCCTTATTTGTTTGTTTGTTTCTTTTTGTGAAAGTGTTTCTAAAATTAAAAAAAGGTATGTTAGGTTATGTGTTAACAGATAGAAACATATTGTATACAAGTCCAAAGCATCTACTGCAGAATTCATCTTAACACCATGTAAAGCACACAGAAACCCTTTATGTTGCAGAAGCTAATTTGATTCATTAATATCAAATCAGTTTGCTTCAAGAGCAGCTGTCACCACCGTGCATCGTACAGCTGCTGTGGTTATAGTGGGGGGGTGGGCAGAGCCCGGCATGCTAACTTACTTTTTATCAACCTCAACAATTTCAGTTTTTGAACGTTTCTCTGATTAGAGGTAGAGCCCTTCTTGACAGGCTCTGCTTATCTGGATCAAATGCAAACCTTCAGGTCCTGGTCAAGCTACAATCAGAGGAAAGATCTTGTGGAGGCCATCTGATTGTTATTCTGTTTTTCTTATCATTTTGTATAGCAGGGCAGATTTTTCTTTCTGAATTTCTCACATTTATGTCACTTCTGTAACTTCATGGGTTTTGAATTGAGTTTTACAGTGCTATAGGCAGTACACATATGTCTATGCGCTTATGTAAAATAAGAATCTTAATCAGTCCCAGTTCCTCTAATCTGCCTGGTACGTTTCACTCAGTAACACACAGGATTTAACATCTGACTTTTATAAACCCCTCTTTAGCTCAGCAGGTATGAGTCCTCAAGATGTGATAGATTAACATCTGTGCTTTCCTCCCTGCTCCCCTCTGTCATTCCCAGATATGTGTTCCTGATGGGGCTCCAGGACCTCAGCGAGAAGCTCTTCTATCGGGTGCTAATGTCAGACATCGAAAGGTTCATGCCCATCATTTACACCCCCACTGTAGGCTTGGCTTGCCAGCAATATGGCTTGATATTTCAAAGACCAAGGTGAGTCACTCTCAACATTTTCCTCACTTTTGACCTATGCACTGCCAAGCAAATAAACCCAGTTTGCATTAGGATTTATTTGAGATTATTTCCCGTTGCTGTGAACAGGCATTAGACAAACGTGAAGTGTTTTTTCTCTGTGTTCCCGCTCACTCAGTTAATGTTTTAGGGTAAATTTTATATTGTTTCTGTTGAAGCACTTGGTATCAGACATTTTTTTGACTTCTGGCTGTATGGCACCAATACCTCAACTGCTTCTCGATATAGCATACAGTACTGAAAAGTTGTTTGCTTTGTAAAATACCAAACAGAAATATTCTCTGATCTAATTGTTGTATTGAAAGGAATGATGTGATTTGTCTGTGCCTATAACTGTTTTTGTAAATTAGTTTTGTGATGTGACAATGTTAAGATTATGGTTTGGTTAGGTTTAAACACAAAAATGAATTGGTTCAGTTTAGGAAAACATCAAAATCAGTGTTAATATGACTGCTTCGTTAAATGACGGGAACTTGTACTAATTGTTACAATAAGAGAATGATCTCTAAATCACCATTGACTGGATTTGTCTATACAGTGAAAGGTGGATATGCAAGCAGAAGGAATGGTGCTTGTAGTTTTAAATAATATCAGAGTGAACAATTATATTATTGTAAACATTTGGTACAAATCGGTTTCCAAGCATATTTACAAAAACCACAAATTATCAGATTATTTAATGTATTAAGGTGAAACCAAAGACTCCAAAGACTCTTAAAGCGTACGTATGTTGGAATTGGTCTTTGATGCTGCAAAATGTGAACCCACTTTGGAAATTGTGGTAGCACTTGCAGCTGGAGTTTGGTTAGACCGCTCAGCTCAAGGCAAACCGCTGTAAGTCAGTTCAAGGTTCACCTTGAGTGGATCTGGCTTTGTTCCTAGCAGACAGACATTCATTGGTTTTCTTTCTTTTTCTAATGTAAACAAACTTTCACGCTCTTCACACACAAATGCACACACACCTCTTTGCTAGTATCTGTTTTCCCTCAGATACTGTAGATTCGACCAGTCCAAGTCCCTCACTGTCTGGCAATTACACTCCCAATGCAAATATTAAATTGACAGGCCATTCAGTCTCAGTGCTGCATTCAGGGCATGTATGTTTTACTTGGGCCTGACTCCCTACAGTACATTTAACCTTATTCAGGTGGCTACATGTGTAGGGTTTTTACTCTAATGAGATCAGTGAGGGACCACCCTAGACAACTGTCCTTTGCAGGCTCTTAAGCACACTTGTTCCTATTTAGGATTTATAATCACTGACGCCAAACTAAAAGGATATACAGTATAAGCCAATAATTCACATGCCAACCCAAAGTGGCGAGCTGCTGTTGGTAGCCAGAGACCATTTGGTGATGTGTAGCCAGGCACACATTTAGCCTGGTAAATTCTAGTAAATTGGTTACTGGTAAATGTTTGCAGTGGTACCTGACAGATATGCCTCTATCAACTTTATAGTGATACAGGAAGCAGCCACAGATGTTTACTAATCATTTTCCCCTTTTGTGCATCTAATGTCCAGCAGTGCTAGAATTTTCCATGTAGTTTGTGCAACAATGGCTTCATTTATATTACCACCATGGATGTGTTTGGTTAGCTGTGAAACCACAGTTTTCCTAATTGGTTCCAAGTATTTTTACTGGAGATATTTAGCTTGGGTACATTTAAAATGCTTGGAAACCCCAATTCTCCCACGCACACACAACTTGCCAAGCAATTTTGTTACCCACCAGCTCTTTATTTTCTCATGCCCACAGAACTATGTGGAAAGTATTCTTAGCATGCCTCACTTCTTCTCATACTGTGCAGGCTGGTGGAGTCATTTTATACACAGTCTCAGTCTCACAGCAGAGTGGGCCAAGCACAGCTGCCAGAGCCCCCAGGGCTGGGAGTTGGGACTCATTGCATCCCCTCAGCCTCAGCTATACTTTATGTAATGCTAATTAGCATGATAACACACTGAATTGTGATGGTGAACAAACAGTTAATTCTCAACTTAGTAAACATTTTAGCAAGCTGGCATTTTAGTACTTAAGCGCAAGGCACCAGTAGGTTATGGCTGGCAGTACTTTGGCTGGAACTGATTTGGTCCTCCCAGAAAAATCAAAATTCAGTTCTTCTTCAGTTCTTATGTCCTTTGTCCTGTAAATGTGTTATTTTGTGTTGCAATTAAACAAAAAAATCTAAATTCAATCCAGGAAATTTTTGGTGTTTTTAAAATAAAATACTGGCGGAACTTATGGAAGTAAAATGCCAGGAAAAATACAAATTCAAATGGAAGGCAACTCCAGGGCACCAACAGAGAAACTGAAATTGCTCAGTTTATTTTAATTAAATTAATTTAGGCTACCTATACTGAAAATACTTCCCCACTGTAGGTTAAGGCTCAGTTGTTTTGTGGTGTTGAAGTGCTACAGTGCACTATTAATGCCAGCACTTTGCATCTTATTCAGAACAAAACACTACTGAATAACAGCCCATATGCGTATTTGTTATTAGTGAAATTTAGGACAGCCTTTCATCGGTTCACCAGTCTGACTGTGAACTCTTAGTCTGTTTTTTTATGATCTTGAAGGAACGGCCCTTGTCTCTAATCTTTGATGAATGTCTCTGGAGTGTTAAGTATTCTGCTTCTATCTAAAGCTAATGCTCATGGAATTTTCCTCACCATCATCCTTTAGAAATGCCTGCTCTGGATTAGTGATACCACTTTGTGTGTGTGTGCATGCACACATGCGTGTCTTCCAGCGAGACCACCATAGCAGCAGATTAGGTCTCTAATCACTGGCTCTCAGGTATAAAGAGTTTCTGTGTGGAAGCAGCGGCCTCTCCTTGTCTTCCCTGACTTTATCTGCCTCATGGAGACTAAACACTCACACACCCGGCTTGGCACCAGAGGTCAAAGGTCAAACACCACACTTGTGATTAGATGGGGCAGAGGTAGGAAGCAGAGCCAGAGAAAGGAACATGTCATCAGGTGATTAGTGGACAAGCTCACTTTTATCAGTTTGTAAGCTCATGAACGGACACAGGGGTTAAGCAGAGAGAGTTAGTGTCTTCAGGTTTTTCTGTTTTTTTTTCTATAAATGGGGGCTGTGTACTTTGACAGTTGAAAGTTTTCAGTTTTGATAAATCACCTTGTTTGATAGCAGAAGATTTATGCATATTGCATGAAAATAATCAGGTTTAGTTGAGTTATGTCCAGTGTCAGTGTGTCCTCTGTGATGCACTGCTATGGAGTGTTGCCTGCTGTCATCATCCAGTGTCAGCAACTCCCACATGGGGGAAAGTAAACATGAAGGAGAGCAACAACAGCAACGAGGGTCAATGGAGAGATGAGGAAGTTTCAGATTTGATGGAGAAGCTTCTCATCACACCAAGCTGGAAGGAACATATTGCAATGTGATTTGCACAAATTGCATTGTTACAGTATACATTTCAGTTAAATCTGCATATACATTGCAGTTCAGGACAGTGTTCACACACGGAGTCGGATACACACACTTAAGGCCTTTTGAGACATGCACTGGAACCCTGAAAAAACACTATCTTGACATTACCCAGAGGAGCTGTATTACATTACCCTGCCGGCACCCTAGTACGAAGTCCGCGCAATTTCTGAGTGAGCTGGAGTGAGCCCATGTGAGAATAAAACAACTAATAGTCTGGAGCATTCACAGCGAGCCAGTGGGCATGCTGATGATGTTCTACTTGGCGAAAATTACAAACATCTGGTGGTGAAGAAGGATGGTCATTTACAATGAAGACCACAACGAAAGTGTCTAACTGGAAACACAATGGCAACTTCTGTCATTACGAGCTGGAGCCATAATATCTGGCAAATTTAAGCTACAAAAAGAGACTCAGCTGTTTATGACCAAATTACAAACTGTCTACATGACTGCGTCATATCCCACCTGTTGCATGCTCCACCCAGACAGTGCCCCCTTGCATAAACCAGTAGTTAAACCAGTATTTCCAGTAGGTGAGAATGCGTCTGACATGGACTATCATCTGTTGTGTGCCACATGGGTGAAAGAGCAACTCTGGATAAAATCGGGGCCTAAATCCCTGGACACTGTCCACAGTTCATATGTGAAAACAGCTTTACCAACATGAATGTGAACCATCAACACAAAAAGAGCTGACAAAACAATTTTCAATTGAGCATTAAGGCTTGTAATGGGAATAAAACCCACTTTCAGAACAAACAGTTCTAGGAACTACCCCACTGGGGAGCTCTACATACTACTGTATGTCACTCTTGTTTCTTATTGTGCTTGGAAAGTACCTACCCTTATGTAAGAGCTAAAAAAGTCCCTCAAAACAGTGTTCTAAGAACTATTATTGTTCTCAGTTCCTGCGGTGTGGACACAAAAGAAAGAGGGTACTTTGTCCTATAGCTGTAAGAATATGAAAAAGTTTCTCCTGTCTGAAAGCACCTAAAGTCTGTCTATGTGACCTGTCTTTCAAGATTTCTCTTTTATAGGAACAGGTAAGTTTGGGGCTGGGAGACAGACAGAGGTAGAAGTTGGAAACAAGGCATTTGTTATGGTTTAGTTCCCCTCACCAGGAGGGTGAGGGAGAACTGTGGTAGGACTCAAATGTGCTGACCCAGGTGCTAGTAGAAAGAAGGAGGTTTAATGGAACAAAAACACAAAGTAACAACATAACAGGGGCCATGTACATATATGAACAAAGTAGGGCAGAGATGGAGGAGGAGACCTGGACAAACAGGTACAAAGACAAACTAACGGCAGGACTCAGGAGAGCCAGAGGATGAGGACGGACAGGTGAATAGACAGGCTAACCAAGGGGACAGGCGAACGAAAAGGATATCCACAGCACAGGGAACTGTCAGCTTGGATATAAAAATAACGTTTAACACAAAACACGTAACCAATATCAAAAATGAGATCCACAGCACAAGAACTGTCAGCCAGGAAATCAAAATGACATAC